CCATTTGATATGGTTTGGCTGTGTCCCCACCCAAATCTCATCTTGAATTATAGCTCCCATAATTCCTACATGTTGTGGGAGGGACCTGATTGGAGATAATTGAATCATGGGGGCGGTTTACCCATACTGTTCTCCTGGTAGTGAACAAATCTCATGAGATCTGATGTTTCCAAAATGGAAACCCCTCTCACTTGGTTCTCATTCTTTCATTCTTTCTTGCCTGCCACCATGTAAGACATGCCTTTTGCCTTCTACCAGCCACATGGAACTGTGAGTCCATTAAGCCTTTTCCTTTATAAATTACCCAGTCTCAAGTATGTCTTTATCAGGAGTGTGAAAACAGACTAATGGACTTTATTTTATACAATAAAACTTATGCTTACAAAGTTTTTAATATTCATTAAAATCTTACATTTCTGTAAATATTTTACAACTGAAAGTCTAAATTTAGAATAACATTAAAGTTTTAAATAATACACATTTATTATAAGAATTAAAACAATCGTGAAGCTTAAAATGTACATTAAAGCAGCTGATAGAATTCAGAAACAAATATATAAATTTATATATCATTTATATTTATTATTTGTTATATAATATTTGATTTCTATTTCAATCCATATACAAAAACAAATTTCAAGGAAATTAGAAATTTAAATATAAGAAGGAAGCCATCAAAATACTAGGGAACTATTGGAGAATATTATTTTCATGGGGAGAAATGCAATGATAACATATCCGCCAGAAACTATAAGGAAAAATCAACAGAATCAACTGTTAAACATACGAACATAATTTTCAGTGGCTCCATTATATTTCATTATTTTGATAGGCCATAATTTACTATCATCCACATATTGTTGGATATCTGTGTAGTTTCTAATATATTTTTATTTTGAATAATACTTTAATGAACATGTGTGGGGAGAGGATTATCTTTGAAAGATCATTATGTACTGAAATTTGTGCTGTCACATTTTTGTTTGACATAAGTAGGTCATTGGCTTAGGTCTGGAGAACTTATTGTTACAAATTCCCTTTTAAAAATAAACCCTCTTAAAGGACTAGAGATTTAGAGATTTGTATGGTTTCTTTTACCACTTGGTGCTCTCTTTGTCCTTTATAGCATGAAGGTTGCAAAGGTTTTGTGGGCAATGTCTAGGATTTTCTGAGTTATTGAAGTTAAAATAAGAATGACCTCCCTGGATCAAAATTTAGTCTAGTTGTCTCTAACAGGCAATGAGGAGTCAACTAGTGCCCTGTACATTTACCCTGACATGATTAGGGATTTGCCCCCTCCTTAAATTTCTGGGTTTTCTTGATAATGATAATTCTGCTTCATGAATTTTGTTAACCTTTTTCCGAATCTATTTCTTTTCTTTTTATTTACATCTTTAGATTATTTTTCAAAATATCAATAGTTTTTTGGGGTACAGATGGTTTTTGGCTCCATGGATGACTTCTTTGATGGTGCATTGTGAGATTTTAGTACACCCTTCACTTGAGCAATGTACACTGTACCCAATATGTTGCCTCTTATCCCTCACCTCCTCATAGTCTCCCCACCCTCGAGTCCCCTAAGTCCATTATATCACTCTGCATGTTTGAGTGTGTGTGTGTGTGTGTATGTGTGTGTGTGTCCTCACAGCTTAGCTCCCACTTATAAGTGAGAACATCCAGTATTTGGCTTTCCATTCCTGAGTTACTTCACTTAGAATAATGGCTTCCAGCTCCTTTCAAGTTGATGCAAAAGGCATTATTTCATTCCTTTTTAAGGCTGAGTATTCCATGGTTATATACAACATTTTCTTCATCCACTTGTTGGTTGATGGGCACTTACATTGGTTTCATATCCTTGTTCTGCTACAAACATATTTTAAATAATGATTCTTTTCCTTTGGGTAGATACCCAGTAATGGGATTGCTGAATCAAATGGTAGATCTATTTTTAGTTCTTTAAGGAAACTCCATACTGTTTTTCATAGTGGTTGTACTAATTTACATTCCCACCTGCCATGTAAATATGTTCCCTTTTCACCACATCCATGCCAACATCTATTGTTTTTGACTTTTTAATTATGGCCATTCTTGCTGTAGTAAGGTGGTATCTCATTATGGTCTTAATTTGCATTTCCCTGATGACTAGTGTGTTAAGCATTTTTTCATATATTTGTTGGCTATGCTTATATATTCTTTTGAGAAATGTCTATTCATGTCCTTAGATCACTTTTGATGAAATTGTTTGCTTTTCTTCTTGATGATATGTTCGAGTTCCTTGTAGATTCTGAACACTAATCCTAAGTTAGATGCATAGTTTGCAAATACTTTCTCCCACCCTTTGGGTTGTCTGTTTGCTTATTTATTTTGCTGGGCAGAAATTTTTTAGTTTAATTAGGTCCCATTTCTTTATTTTTTTTGTTGTTGCATTTGCTTCTGGGGTCTTAGTCATGAATTCTTTACCTAAATCAATGTCTAGAAGAATTTTTCCAATGTTTTCTTCTAGAACTTTTATAGTTTCAGGTTTTCGATTTAAGTCTTTGCTCCATCTTGAGTTGATTTTTGTATGAAGTGAGAGATGAGGATCCAATTTCATTTTTCTACTTGTAGCTTGCCAGTTTTTCCAGCACCGTTTGTTAAACAGGATGTCCTTTCCCCAATTTATGTTATTGTTTGCTTTGTCAAAGATCAGTTGGCTGTTAAGTATTTGGCTTTATTTCTGGGTTCTCTATTCTGTTCCATTGGTCTATGTGCCTCTTTTTATACCAGTACCATGCTGTTTTGGTGACTATGGCCTTAACGTATAGTTTGAAGTCAGATAATGAGATGTCTCCAGATCTTACTTAGTCTTGCTTTGGCTATGTGGGCTCTTTTTTTTTTATTCCATATAAAATTAGGATGCTTTTTCTAGTTCTGTGAGGAATTATGGTGAATGGGAATTGTATTGAATTTGTAGACTGCTTTTGGCAGTATGGTCATTTTCACAATTTTGATTTTACCCATCCATGAGCATAGGAAATGTTTCAATTTATTTGTGTCATCTATAATTTCTTTCAGCAGTGTTTTGTAGTTTTCCTTGTAGAGATCTTTCACCTCCTTGGTTAAGTGTGTTCCTAGGTACTTTATTTACGTAGATGTTGTAAAAGGGATTGAGTTCTTGATTTGATTTTCAGCTTGGTCATGGTTGATGGATGCTACTAATTTGTGCTACTAATTTGTGTACATTGATTTTGTAACCTGAGACTTCACTGAATTCATTTATCAGGTCTAGGAGCCTTTTGGATGAGTCTACAGTTTTCTAGGTATGTGATCATATTATCTGCAAATAGTGACAGTTTGACTTCCTCTTTTCCAACTTGCCCTTTAGTTCTTTTTTTTTTTTGTCTGATTGGTCTGGCTAGGACTTCCAGTACTATATTGAATAGAAGTGCTGCATGTGGACATCCTTGTATTGTTCTAGTTCTCAGAGGGAATGCTTTCAACTTTTCCCCATTTAGTATGATGTTGGAGGTGGGTTTGTCACAGATGCCTTTTATTACTTTGAGGTAAGTCCCTTCTATTCCTTTTTGTTGAGGGCTTTCATTAGAAAGCAATGCTAGATTTTATCAAATGCTTTTTCTGCATCAATTGAGATGATCATAGGATTTTTAATTGTTTATGTGATGTATTATATTTATTAACTTGCATATGTTAAGTCATCCCTACATTCCTGATATAAAACCCACTTGATCATGATGTATTATCTTGTTGATGTCCTGTTGGATTCACTTAGCTAGTATTTTGGTGAGAATTTTGCATTTATGTTCATCAGGAATATTGGTCTGTAGCTTTCTTTTTTGTTATGTTCTTTCCTGGTTTTGATATTAGAGTGATACTGGCATCATAGAATGATTTAGGGAGGGGTCCCTTTTCCCCTACCTTTTGGAATAATTTTAGTAGGATTGGTACCAGTTCTTAGAATATTGGTAAAATTCAGGTGTGAATTCATCTGATTTTGGAATTTTTTGTTGGCAATTTTTTAAATTACTGTGCATCTATTTTTAAAGTCTGTGTATCCCATGTTGGTGGTATAGTGGTGAGTGTACTGCCTTCCAAAATCTGTGTATCTCTTGAAATAATATGCTCTATGGTTATAAGTGATCTGCATAGACAACATAACTGAAGTGTCCTCAGCTATGTTTTTTGTTATTGTTGTTGTTGTTGGAAGTGAGGGATGTGGTTGCTTTGGGGTTTTTTGTTAACCATCTAAAACCAGCTTTTATAGAAACTGAATTGGTTTTGAAGAACCAGAATACCCAGCAACAATCCCACGTTTCCACAGAGAAGAAATGGACCAGTGAGATAAGAGGGAAGGTTTTCTAAACATGTGAGATGTATGGGGGGGTTGCTTACATGTGTGGTTTGTTTTCTTAGGTTAGAAAAATAGACAATGTGCTTTCAGGAATGAAAACTTCTATTATGATTATCATTAAAAAGAAATTTGATGGAACATTCTTCCTTGTTTGTTTCAGCTAACCAGGGACATTGTCCACAGCAGCCAAGTTGCCTGGAAAAGGATACCAAGCATTGAAGACTTTCTGGGTGTTCTCCTCACTTCGAAATGTGGAATGATTTATCAGTAGACTATAAATAATCCTAACAACTGGACTGTCTAGCTTTGTAGCAGCTACTCACAACTCAGTTTTCTAATAGCCCATTTATAAAACATTTAAAAACATACCTTCTGATAAAATCATTGGTCCAATCTATTCATTATAATTATATTTTTATAAGTAGAGTCTTCATGCATTCTAATAAAATGCTGCATAACACTGACATCGTGTCTTAAGTCATATAATATAAAACTTTCTAACTGCTTATAGCTATCTGTTAGAAAAGGGGAGGGAAGGCCTCCTTTATAAATTTAAATCTTCTTAAGAAGTATAGTAGGATTACTGTAAAACTGATATCTAAGTTCTAGTTTAGACAGTAAAATCACACAAAGTAAAAGTGGCCATACTCACTCATTGGGGGTGCCCTTCTGGCCACAAAAGTGGCCCTGGCTGTCTGTAGGATAGGCCGCTCTTCTGGGGTCCCCATGTACCCAGGCTGTAGGAACAAGTACAAAAATGCTATCAGCAAAAGCTGGTTAAAGGCAGTTCGACTTGAAATATTAGAATGCACAACTGCAACACACTAACCTCTTCCCTCAGTCACAAAAGATTATTGATTTTCTTCAAAGAGTAATTTCTTAATGAAAAGTAAAATAAAATATGGATGAACCAGTCAGAAAGCACATTTCTCTTATTCTCTCAGGGTTCTAGCCAAAACATGAGGTAATGCACTTAGAAAATGACATTTATTAAAATGTGAATTAGAGGGCACACTATAAAAGCTCAGTTGGCTAGAAGTCACATTTTCTAGGGTTCCAAACAAAATGACTTCATAGCAGACCTAATATATTTACAGTAAATAATGTGATGTAATACTTTTGGGTTACGCATAAGTGTAGACCATTAAAAAATTCAAAGCAATGAAACCATAATGCCCAATTCAAATTTATGATTTCTTTATGATTTTGTGTGGCATTATAAAGGCAAACAATAGCAACTACACAGGCAATATGTAATAAAGATTTACCATAAGTGTTGTCTGATAATCTCAGAGCTTAATAGAAATATCAAATAATCTCAAACTTCATGAAAATTAAGGACTTAATTTTCTATGAAGATGATGGGCTCAAACACATCACCCTAATTTTTTAAGAATTACAAACTTAACTTGACAGATAGACCATAGAACCACAGAGAGTAACATACATCAGGTCAATTAGGAAATGTTCTCCAATGTTAGTTGAATATTTCTGACTTCTCCAATTTGACTAACACAGTTCCTAAAGCTCCGGGAAGTGAGCTGGTCATCTAATGCTTGCCTCTGAATATTGAAACGTATCTCTTTGTCCTTTGCTTCCTTTAACATTTGCCCAACTATCTCCTTCCTCACATTTACTGGATTTGACATTTCATGTTATAATTCAATCGCCCTTATGTATATGGCCTGTGTGACTTGGGAAGATAAAAAAAAATCAATTCCAAATGAGAATTTTAATATGGAAGAAAATTTTTTCTCAGTAATTTTTCTCATTAATCTAAGCCTTTTAGTATCTAAGCACCCACAAAGGTCCCCTTTGTCTAATTCTTTCTCCAATGTCATAGAGGCCAAATTGGTTTCATCTTCTAATACTTTCTTATGAAATCGACTCATTTGGGTAGCTCTCAGCTGCCATATCTTCCCGTCTCTATTTCCCAGAATAAAGAAAGTGGACTACAAATAACGCATTTAAATAACAAAGTATTCAATGTATGATGTCTCCAGACTCTATTTTATTACATTCTGTTTCTACATCTTAGTTTGTCATGTTTTGGTTAAATCTAAGAGATTTAATTTTACCTATTTTTCTGTAATACATTTTTAAAGCTTTATTCCAAAATGTCTTATTATTTTTTCTATACAATTATTAATTCAGAAACCAGTACCCAAAGCATTTAGATTGCTAGATTTTCCCTGAGTGAGTCACTTAATTATTTTGAGTCTTGACTTTCTAATTTGTTACTGCAAAATGAGTATAATAACACCCAATCCCACGAGAGTGTTGAGAATATAAAAGAAGATAATGAAAGTGGAATGACTAACATGGTGTGTGGCGTACAATATGGACTCAGGAACATTAGTTCTTATCTTATTTGGGTTTCCCCAAAAGCAAAATCTAAGACAAGAACTTTGATGCAGGTGGTTTATCTGGGAAGCTTAAGTGGGTATGACGGAAGGTGAGATGGAGGAGAGTTTTATTCCAGGAAGGGAAGTTTTATTCTAGGAAGCTGAAGTGGGTATGAGGGAGGAGAGACGGAAGGGAGCAAAGCCAATTAAGTGAATGTTAATGAGTGGAATACTGCTGTGGGCAGCTGGGGCTCCATCCCACTAGGAAACTTCTGCAGAACCATGTGGAACATGCCTGTTGGTGCCAATTGTAAAACTGCCCACCACAGCTGCAAAAAAACTCAGGTGGGTCAAGAGAAAGCATGGTCAGGTATCAGTAGTATCTCCTGTTGTTTTTGTTCCCATATTCATCATAAATTAATTAGCTAAAGAATTTAGTAAATGACCTCCCATACTGGAAGTCATACCAATGTGACTTTATGTTAGCATTCTCAACAAATACATGCAAAGGGGAGAATAAGGTTTGCAGACGATTTAGAGAACAAGTGAGACTTGAGAAAGACTTTGAAAAATGATTAGGATTTGGACATGTGGCTGGAAGTAGGAAAGGATTTATAGATTGAGGAAATCATATAATAACTTTCATTTATTAATTGCTCACGGTGTGACATGCTGTGCTAACTTGATTATACCCATTATCTCAACGGAGGCTCAGAGCAAACCTAAAGGTAGGCATTACTTTCACCTGAATTGTATAGAGGCAGCTCAGAGTTTAATTTACTTCTAAAAATCACACAACTTTAAGTGAGATAAACAAGGTGTGAACTCATGTTTGTTGCTTGCTTTTTATAACCTGTGGTTTTAACCACCAAACTAGAAAGGTGATAATGCTTCCTGCGAAAGGACAGAGTAATGAGCTTGTTAACAGGGGTAAAACAAGGACATCAGCTAAATAAGGATCAGCAAAATGCTCATAACATAGGAAAAGAAATGACAGGCAATTTTAGAGCTTTTGCCATTTGGGGAGAAAAGCTTCATAATTGTGGCAGGGAGTGGGGGTGGAGAGGGAGTGTATCTGATTGGGAGGGATCTGAGGGTCTAGAGAAAAAGGACAGGGATGAAGATGGAAGTGTCAAGAGAAGAATTCTCCTTTTTGACTTTCTAGTTTTGAATTGTAGCAGGTGGCTGTGTTTACTGAGTTGCTGCTACACCTCTCCACACAGCCTCTGGCACAGAAGTTGTGCTGGAGATGGTCTGTGTTTGAGCTGGAACATAGACTTTGAGCTGAAAGTTGCAAAAAGGAGGAAAAAAAGGAGATGGGCAGCAGCCATTATTTTGTCCCTTTTTATAAATTAGGGAGCTTCTGACATTTTATTCCTTTTCTTGGAATTTTTAAATTCATGGAACATACAGAACTGTGCTGTCCAGTATGGTACAGACACTATCTATGGGTCTATTCAGCACTTGAAATGGCTTTTCCAAATTGGAATATACTGTTAATGTAAAATACACATCATATTTTAAAGACATTATAAACAACAACAAAGAAGAGTATCTTAATTTTTATATTGGTTACATTTTAAATGATATTTAGTATTTAAGTAAAGAAAATATATTGTTATTAAAATTAATCTCACCTGTTTCTTTTTATGCTCTTAAATATAGCTATCAGAAAATTTAATCTTACATATGTAATTCACTTTATGTTTCTCCTTGACAGATCTGCTCTAGAGAAAGAACAGTGTTAAAGGCTTCTTATATAAGGTGACTAAGAGTGCTGTACATCACCAGCTTGTATGATAGTCATTCTCAAGCACATCATATGCAACGCACCCTTTTCATAATAAATATTTTACAATGCCCCTTGTACAATCTTGAAATAATAGTCACAGATAACATAATAGCCACACTCATAATTCCTTTAAAAAGTCAATAAAATATCCTATGTAATACAAATGAGAAATAATAAACAGTAATTTATAATTAAATAGTATGCACATCAATATGCAAATGCTCAAATGTGACTAAACTAGAAGCCATGTGAGTAGTCAAGTGCTTACACCTATAGGTAGAATCACCAAATGTAGCAGCTTTAAGTGCAGGAGGATACATGTATATTGATAGGAAAATCAAATACAAGCGTTTTTAATGATATGATTTTCCTAAATGAACAAATTTTAGTAAATTCTAACAACAAAAAAGTAGAATCTTCTTTCAAATTCCCTTGGTACTTATTAAAGTCAGGCAAAAATAAGTTTTGTTATTTATTTTTATATTTTTATTGATATAATTGTACATATTTTTATGGACATGATATTTTGATACATGTATGCAATGTTTGATGATCAAATCGGGATAATTGGAATATCTATCACTTTGAACATTTTTCTTTTTTTTGAGACCAAATTTCACTCTTGTTGCCCAGGCTGGAGTGCAATGGCATGATCTCGGCTCACTGTAACCTCTGCTTCCTGGGTTCAGAGATTCTCCTGCCTTAGTCTCCCAAGTAGCTGGGATTACAGGAATGTGTCACCACACCCAGCTAATTTTGTATTTTTTTTTCCATTTATTTTATTGCATTTTAGGTTTTGGTAATTTTGTATTTTTAGTAGAGATGGGGTTTTCTCTTTGTTGGTCAGGCTGGTCTCGACCTCCTTACCTCAGGTGATCTGCCCGCCTCGGCCTCCCAAAGTGCTGGGATTATAGGCGTGAGCTACTGTGCTCAGCCTGAACATTTTTCTTTGTGTTGGGAACACTACAATTCTTGTCTTCAAGCTATTTTGGAATATACAATAAATTACTGTTAACTACAGTTTCCCCACACTGTCAGATACTAAAATTTATTCCTTTGAATGACATATTTGTACTCATTAACCAACTTCTCTTCATCCCTTCCTTCTTCATTCCCTTTCCAGCCCCTGCTAAAGACTATTCTACTCTCTGCCTTCATGAGATTCACTTTTTTAAGCTTTTGTAATCTCAGAACAGAATTTCTAGATTCGCATATGTGAAAACAAGTTTTCATCTAGATTGCTAGGACATGGGAAAGTCAGGCAGAAAGTGAGATGTAGAAGTAAGCCACGTTGAAGTCACATCCTCCACCTGACTCAAGCCTTCAGCTGACTGCAGCTTTGGCTTTCATCATGACCGCAACTTCATAAAGAACCTGGAGCCAGAATCACCCAACCAAGCCATTTCCACATTTCTGGCCATGGAAATTCTGAAATAAGAAATATTTATTTTTTGAGTTACCAATTTTGAGGGTAATTTACAATGCAGCAATAGATAATAAATTATTATTTAGTTTCTAAAAATCTTTTTTAAATTCAGAGTTTACCTTATAGCTAAATTTTTTACCCTTTGGCTTATATTTTGAATTAATGTATAGTATC